GCTTGATATTATGCAGATATATATCCAGTACTAGAAACAAGGCACCAAACAAGATAACTTAACAAGACTAGAAGAATCCTGAACTGGAGCAGGACAGAAAGCAGAACCTAGAACATGTACACAAGAAATGAGGGAAACAAGAACAGGAGATGGAGAGGCAGGACCGGCCTGTACATGAACTGGGAATACAAGACAAAAAAAAAACAAGACAAGAAATGCAAGGCAAAACAAGAGAAGAAATAAGTACTATATATGTAATAAACATTGGAGATTTAGACATACATAAATGACCAAGATGTATCAAGCCCACCACTGCGCCAAAGTACTCTAATTACGGTGGGTCCTGACTAAAAGTACAACAATAAAACACACACAGTACTTAGATGCCATAAAAAGGAGCAGAGGAACACTGAAACAAAAAGGACAAATGGCAAATGAATGGGTGTATCAACAAAAGACAAACATTGAAAGGAATCCAGGAGACTGGGAATCCCAGTGTGACAGAACCAACTGCCTGTGAAATATTTTTATTATTCCCTCATTCGTCTGTTTGTTCAGCTATTTCCCTGTCTGTATGGTCCCCACACTTGTTTCTGTTTTACCAAACAATTACCGAACAATTCACCAAACGGCCGACCACCCAGCATGGAAGTGTGCTGCTGGTTAACCTCTTGGCCTCATTAGAACGTTGTGGTTAACCGCAGACACTTCATAATTGTCGAATGCCGACTGGGTGGTCATCATTCGTATGCCGACCACAAGGTGGCGGCCATCTTGGACATACGAATGCCCAGCGGTGTTCGTCAATGATTTCATGGAACTAAAAACGGACAGTGTTTCTCCAGAACACCGCTGAAAGCCGCCGACTTCCCTTCTTCTATTTTTACAGCATACAAACGCCGGTCCGTTCGTTAGTTTCTTTTCACGAATAGATTTATCCCAGATAGCTGTGCCATGGAGCCCATTCGTATAACGAAAGACTATGTGAAGGACTTTGGCTCCATGGAGATTTAACTGTGTGTATAGGATTTGAGCGTCATTCGGTAATAATGTGCACTCAGATCCAAGCTATTTGGTGTGTTGAATGTATCTATTGTGTTCGGTAGTTCTTGCATTATGTATTTTTATGTATTTTCACTATTTGGTATAAAATGGAGTTTGGCCTTTGTCCTCGGAGATAATTGAGTTACTTCCCAATTATCTCCAGGACAGGGAGGAGGGTCCTATATAGTAAAAAAAGGAGTGGTTATGTCTTCAACTCTGTGATTGGCTAATGTACAATATGTGTCCCAGTTTTCCACCAGGTCCTCTAGGGGAGTGTCCACCTGGTGGAAAACCTGCATAAATACCGGGCAGGTAGCCCATAATAAACCAGATTCCTGCTGATCCTCAATACGGAGCTTTGTCTCGTACTTGGGGCGATTTATTCGGACGGTGATTCTCGTTCGGATGTTTGGAGGGTGTATGATTTGTATGGTTCCTGTTCGGCTGATTGGACCTGAAAGGAGCATCTTATACGGTTTTAACCCTTTTATCCCTGGATTTCCGTAACAACTGGTGGCAAGCGCGTGATGATTCCTACAGCCCAGAAGGACAGCTACAAAGACACAAGGCGATGGAAAAGTATTATGAGCAATTATAGCGCTCTACCCTAAAAGATTTGCTGGAGAGCCGTGGCCAAAGCTGCTGGAGATGGATAGAACCGAAAAACCCAGCATCACCGACCAAACACCCAACGAGGCAAGCTTTGATCGGGCGGTCAACATCAGGCTGGCACATTTTGGCCCCAACCCTACACCAGACATCATTGAGTGTGTTCTAGCAGCCGTGGAAGCGAACCAGCTGCTTCAACAAAGAGGTGCTGCAACAGCGGAAATACCAAACACAAATGGAAAGAGAAAGGTACATTTCGCTGCTTTTAAAAATTTTGTGGAAGCTGATGGGGAGATTGATGGGTTCCTGGATGATTTTGAAAGGCAATGTGCCCTACACCAGTTACCCGCAGACGAATGGGTTACCATTCTATCTGGGAAATTATCCGGCCTGGCAAGCGAAGCCTTTCAAGCCATCCCAGACGAGGACGTTACAGATTATGGCTTAGTGAAAGAAGCCCTTTTGGCCAGGCATGCTGTTACCCCAGAAGCATACCGAAGGAGGTTCCGGGACACTAATAAACAAAGCGGAGATTCATACCCTGAGTGGGCATGCCGTATACACCGCACGGCAGCCCACTGGGTCGCTGGATGCCAGGCGGTATCCGGGGAAGAAGTGCTACAATTGTTCTTGCTGGAACACTTCTATGAGAGACTGACCACAGGGGTCAGGGAGTGGGTCCGTGACAGGAAACCCCTTACCCTACCGGAAGCAGCTCGCTTGGCTGATGAATACATGGATGCCCGCAAGCTAGACAACCAGGTGCCTAAAGCAGTAACCTGTATGGATTACCGACCGGGGGCATCCACTACAGTGGTCCCACCACAACCACTGTTGTACCGGTCCAACTCCCCACCTCCAGCTGCCACGTATTCCCAGCCACGAAGGTTCAATGCAAAGAACTATACCCAGCCCAGGAAGTGTTTTGGCTGTGACCAAGTCGGCCACCTCAGACATGAATACCCATTGAACCCAGCCAGGCAGTCACAGTCTTGGAGGAAGCCAGCTTGTGGGAACCCCCGCACAGCAATGCCTGCTGCTCACTGTGTGCAAGAGGAAGAATGCTAGGGCATCCTACATGAGGCTGACCCAGTACAAGGAGCCCACTGGGACAACTGACAGCAACACAGGCAGACAGTCAAGGTGAATGGGAAAGTCGCCAACGGATTAAGGGATACCGGTGCCACCATGACCCTACTACAAAAGAATCTTGTCTCCAAGAGCCAACACACCGGAGACGCTGTGGCCGTAAGGGTCGCTGGAGGCACAGTGTTTCAACTACCCATTGCTCGGGTCCACCTCGATTGGGGGGTTGCTTCAGGACATGTTAATGTCTGGGTAATGAAAGACCTGCCAGCAGACGTACTGCTGGGGAATGATTTGGCCCCCCTTGTCTCTGCTTACCCTCCGATGGACCCCGCTGAAGTTAACCCTGTGACTACCCTTGCCCAGGCCCGTGCTGCTGAAACTGGCCCACCTGCTGCTGAGACCCAGGTAAGACTACCTTCCCCAACATGTACCTCAGGTCAGGCCCCCTTAGGCCCCAGAGGATACCCCAGAGGAGTTTGGGAGGGAAACCTGGGAGGACCTGATGCTACACAAGTATAGAGCTAAGGCAATAGGGTAGATGGGGAATGATATAAGTGGGTGGGGGATAGGCTGTATAGGCTTCTTAAACCGTCCCTAAAGAGTAAAGCTCCTTCACAGAAACAACAGCTGGTGGTGCCTGTGAAATACCATCAGGAGATTCTGCGAATTGGGCATGATGTACTACTAGCACTAGGATCTAGGATCCTGTTGCAGAGCCTATTAGATTACGCAGAATTTCTTCTGGCCCAATTTTAACCAGAATGTGCGACAATACTGTAATACGTGCGACACATGTCAACGGGTAGGTAAGAGGGGGGATCAGACTTATGTCCATGCCTATTATTGGGAAACCCTTCTCCCGTATAGCCGTTGACATTGTGAGTCCACTGGCCAGACCTAGTCCATCCGGGAAGAAGTATATTCTTACCGTGGTGGACTATGCCACCCATTACTCAGAGGCAGTAGCTCTGTCCAATATTGAAGCGGAGACAGTAGCTGATGCCCTGGTTAAGATCTTCAAGGAGATCTTCTCCTACCAGGGAACCCAGTTTACCACTGTGCTCACCCAGCAGTTGTTGTAGGTATGCAACATTAAGCCCCTGCTTAGCTCACCTTACCACCCCCAGACTAACGGTCTCTGTGAGCGCTTTAACTGGACCCTCAAGCAAATGCTGAGGACCTTTACTGACACCTGCAGAGACTGGGAGAGATTCCTACCTCGTCTGTTGTTTGCATACAGAGAGGTACCCCAGGAATCTACTTCGAGTTACTCTATGGGAGAAGGGTCCGCGGACCCCTGGATCTCATTAGAGGACACTGGGAGGGAGAGACAGAGCAGGAGGGGACCCCCAAAGTGCCATATGTTCTGGAACTCAGGGACCGCATGGAGCAACTGTCTCTGATGGTGAGAGAGAACCTCCAGGCGGCCCAGGGGAGACAGAAGAGCTGGTACGATCGGGGTGCCCGATAGCGTGTCTTCCAGGCTGGGCAGAAGGTCCTAGTGCTCAAGCCGGTGAAGACTGACAAGAAGCAAGAAAACCATGCATGGTTTAGAAAAACAAAGTAGTAGCCCAGGTATGTGATACTACCTATGTCATTGCCAGCTGTGCAGATGAAAAGATCCAGCGATCCTTTCATGTGAACATGCTGAAGGAGTACTAGGAAAGACAGGAGGATGTCGCTGCAGTGTGTGCCCCTGCTGCAGACGACTCAGAAAGCTTACCCCTCCCTGATTTACTAGAGAGAGACCCCCAGACTGACCTAACTAGCCTTGTACAGCTAGGGGACAGGTTAAGCCACACTGAGCTGGGACAGGCTAAGAGGCTTCTGTGGGAGAAACAGGTGACTTTCTCCCAAGAACCAGGTGAAAGGATAAATGCTGTTCTGGACTCAACTCCCCTCGATTCTCGCTCCTTCGATCACCACATCAATTGATGGGAGATCTTGTTTAGCAAATAAGACACACAGACACGAAAGAGTGCATAACAAGTTCTCAATGAGTATATTTTCAGGGCTAGCATTTATACACAATTTCTCATGCAAGCAGTGAAGTCTATAGTGTCCTTGTGGCTAATAGTACATACTTGTCGGACATGAAAAAGATAAGCATTTGGATGAAGACGAGACAGGAACATCCTAAGGTCAAGGAAGGTCATACATCCTGTAGAGGAAAGACCTTGGTACAAAATACATCTGCCAAAGTCAGCATAATTATTTCAAACATTATTTTAAAGCATATAAAGCAAAAAGAGTTAACCATTTCACTTCCTTACATCCCCCTCTTTGAGCAATTAATTTGCTCATATCATTGATAAGATCTTCCCAGGTCAGAGAAACTTCCACATGGTATTTTCAGGGGTGCTAGTCACTCCCTGCGGGACTTTCATTAATTTCTTCACCTCGATTCCCATGTGGTAATTCCTAAGGCCCAGTTTTAAAGATGGGTTGATAGCCTCCAGTGGCAGAGAGGAGAATTTCCAATTGTTTCTGTTCTGCATTATGGATTAATTTCTGTATTCTCTTCCTCAATGTACAAGTAAGATGGCAGTTATATAAAATCATACCCAATACAATCAGGACTATAATAACAAGAGGATAGAAGAATGATTTCATTATCTGGGATCCAGTAGGGGACCAACCTGTAAAAGCATCGTACCAATGATGGGCTTCATTCTGAATTTGTGAACTCACCTTAAGGAGTTCTCCTTTTAGGATATGTGTGGCTACCTGTGTGTGTACTATAGCATCATTATGTGTAACAAGATGTTTAAACATATTTTGTTTTCCTTTCATTAAGGAGACAATAGTCTCAAGAGGTAGATGGTAATCTTTAAAAGGCAGAGAGCCTAATAGGGCATTAATATGTTTGTCTAAAGTGATTGTGTCGCTGAAATAATATTGGCTGTCATTAAGATCTAACAATTTTCTGTGAACCTTCAAACAAACATAATGCATCGGTTTCATTAGCTGTGGACACATTCCATATGGGTAACTGGTACTTGTAAGGGTTATTATTTATCCAGTTCATCCATATGTGTTCAGTCAATGAGTGCTTGCATATTACATGCTGATAGATAGGTGGTGGAGAAAGGTTCTTGAGGGAGCATGTGTGACGAGTGCTAGATGAGGGGCTAAGGCCTAATTGGGCTGGGGGTATTGAAGAATTGTTCATCATGTCAGAGTCATTTCTCCAGAAACAAACAGGTTTCAAACTTCCCATTGACTTGTACTCATAATGGCATTCAAGGAATAATATCAGAGGGAGTATAACAACTCCAGAAAGCATAGCGCACAACATAATCTTGGTCTCAGGTTCATATGATCCTCTCAATCTACGATATGGTGTGAAAGCCATGATGCTTCGCTAAGGGGAAATTCTTCTCTTTCCGAGTGAGGAGTGGTGTTGTCTTCCTTGGTTCCCCTCTTTGGACACAGCTTCACTCGGGATGCGTGAATCCAGATGTCGTGGGAATCTGTGAGGACAGCGGTTCTGGTTACAGCAATCACAGTAGCAGGTGGTCCGAAAGGGTATCCTCCTTTCTTGGTCCTATTCAGCTGACGGATATACACCTTGTCACCAGGCTGGTATGGATGAGTAGGTTCCTGTGAAGGTAAGGGAAACTGCGAAGAAACATTGCCATATATACCATTCAGTTTTATCAACAATTCCTGTACATATTGTTCTTGTATTAGCTGTAAATCCCCAGACATTATAACAAGCGGTTCCCTGGCCCAGGGTGTGGGAAAAGGTCGTCCCATCAGAATCTCAAATGGAGATAATATAGTCACCTTGTGAGGAGTCATTCTTATCTCAGCTGTTTTGGATCAAAGAAAACTTTGATTATTTGTCTATCTACACCTTCCAAATTGATTAATTAATGCGTGCACGCTTTCCCTAGAAGTAATTCACACCGGAGACAAAGTTTCTGATCAGTGAAAAACCCAGGAATGCTTTATTCCCCGGAGTGGGGGCTCCTTCTTAAAGCAAAAATACGTCACAGTTTAAACATACAGTATACATTCACCAATTGGTTAACAGAGAAAGGGGGCTCTTGTTTAAACCCCCCTACAGAATGTAGTGTCATCATTACACACTTTTGGATACACGATGGGAGGGGGAGTGAGTGGTATCTATCAGTTCTAAACCAATGATCCTCCATTTAGCTATATATGGCATATAGCTGTTAACTGGCACAAAGGTAGTGGGGGAGGGGAGGCTAGCAGGATGTGAGGAATTTACATAGTAAACAGCAGCTGACCACATTGTAGGGGGGGAAGGGAATATTTACTCTAGAAGCCAGTTTTAACATAGTGAACAGAGAATAAATAGACATTAGTAAATAGCCATTTTATTTTAATTCATCTGTCCATAACAGTCCCCCCTTAAAATGGCAATTTTTACTAAAACTACTATCTCTCATTCTAATACTGTCCCTATAGAAAAATAACAAAAGGCTATCTTGCACATCTGTCTGAACAGGCCTCGAACACTTCACTGCGTGGGTACCCCATAGCAGCTTGTCCACTACTTCTCCCGCGGCAGACTTCTGCCCGTAGAGACAGACGCTATCCCTAAATGTCCTTAAGAGGAAGTAGCTGTTGATTTAGTGCGGTGGAACTGTAAGGGTGTATGTGGTGTATCACGGTCGATATCGTAAATCTCTTGGTGAAGGAAGGTCGGGGTGGTCTGGTCGATTGCCTGATCAACTGTCTTTGTAGGCATTTCTTAAGACAGGGTAACACACAACAAACAAGAAGAGCGAGGATGATTATCGTTATTAAAATGGAAACACCTATTTGGGCCAGAGCACCTTGCCATTCAGACATCCATCCAAACCATCTTTCCCATGGATCTGTGGCCCCAGAATTTCGTTTCAGTTCATTGGACAAACTCTTTAACTTTTCTATTGCCAACGTTACCTTACCATTAGGGCCTGTATTATCTGGAATATAGGTACAGCATGTCATGGTGTCTGGGAGTATTTTACATACTCTCCCTTTTTCTGCTAAAATCATTTCCAAGCTTATTCTATTCTGGAAGGTCATCTGAGAGATAGTTTGTAACCGCCCTATCCCACCATATATCCCATAACAAGTATAGTTCCCGGGCTATATAGTAATGCCTTCGTCTGGGTTAATATTTTTAGTAATGATTGGGTATTAAGTTTCCATGACTCGCATGCTGACCGCTTAGGTTTAAATACAGTGTAGAGACTTAAAACGCATACTTCATATCCGGAGGAAGGTTCAGGGATACTGTACCTGGGTGAGGCCTCGCTCCTCCACAGACATAGCAGTTAGATCTGTTGTGTTTGTTAGCGTTATATTTCATCCACTCAAGCCATAAGTTAGTGTCAGAGAAACCCGTCTCTACAGCCATAGTGTCCTCATACGTGGGGTTAGCTATAGCTATCATCTTTTTTAGAGTCCTAATGTGTGGTTTGAGGGGATTAACAGTCATGTGCGTGGCACCTACCCATTCAGCTGAGTCATACATGTCCTGTAAGAAAAAGGTCTCCTGTTTATTGTATAAACCTCTTCCCTTCCAATTCAGATTTTATTAGCCGTAATGCTTGGGAGAATAGATTCAAACTTAGTTTCTTACCTTAAAATTATTTGGTACCCCCCTTGACACCCCTATGGCATTAATATATATATATATATATATATGTGTGGGTAAAACCACCCTTTATAGGGGTACTCCTTTTTGTCCTGAAGCATGAATGAGGTGTGTCAAGAGTACCTTGGGGATTGTCATGTGTTATGTGTATGGACATAATAACCTAGGCTAGGGCACATTTACTTATTCTTAGAAATCTTGTCTCATGCTACCCTAGTACTGGCAGATTCAGATCATTTAAACATTCAATATTAATATCACCACAAACTCAAGATAAGCAGATGATCCTGAAAAAGCTTTGACTGTGCGTATGGCACCTCAGACATGAGGGCTGCAGGGTAAGGAGTATGTTTGTTTCTCTTTAGTTTCACGAGGTCCCCTTTTGGGGTATTCGGCTTTCCATCGATGGCAGGTGGTCAGGCATTATTATGGCCATCAAAACACCCACTTGTTGATATTTATTTATTTTCAACAAGTATCTTTGTTCTCTAAGAATGGAGTTTCAAAAAGGGTTGTCAAGATCAACAAATGTTACTTCACATGATGCAGAGGCAGGCTTGATTCTGGAATGATGAATCCACGGGGTGATCTCTGTAACTTTCACGGTGCACTACTCAGCATGTGGTCTTGGTTATCACTTTGGTGGCTGGATAGGCCTCTGGCCATCCTGAAAACATGTCTGCTATAATTAGTGCATATTTGAATCAGCCATTCTTTGGCATTCTGGCGACTTGACTCCTCTGGAAGAGATAATGAGGTTTGGCTAGATGCTTGGGGCTTTCCTCCATTCTTCCTGAGTTGCCCTTGGCACAAATGGCACAAGATTTACAGTAACTGTTGGTCAGAGAGGCAATTCCTGATACTTCAGAGTATTTATTGATCAAAAGAGTTCATGAGGGTTCTGGACAGATGCTCCGTAGGCCCACTGGACCACTGCTGAGTATATGTTCTTGGGCAAGTAGAACTTGAGATTGTTGAAGTACAGCCTGTCTTTAAGAGTTGCCCCTTTCTGTTTCCAGCTTGTGGTTTGTTTGTTTTTTCTTTCTTTCCAGGGTCAGTAGCTTGCTCGTTATTCCTTCGGGAGCTTGATGTCTGTGGGTAGGATCTTACCTGGTGAATATGGGAGTTTCTTCAGCAGACACTTTTCTGTCCACTTCCCTTAGTGCACTTACAACTTCTTGAACAACTTGGTCAGCCAGAGAGCTGCCACATGCTTCCTCTGAGTTCAGTCTTCCTTCAGAGATCTTGCATGGTGTGATGGGAGCCTATAGCTCAGCTTCTTGTGCAGACATTGTTGAGGTGAGATACTTGGTCCACTGTAGTGACAGCAAATCCGGAACAGATCATAAGAAAAAGGCTAAAAAAAAATAATAGTCAGTGTCTTATCATTTCCCCCCTGGGAAGTGGCAGAAGAGTGGCCAGGTAAATAGAGTATCATCCCTGCAGGGTGACATTATCCTGCACAGAATTCGTCCATCACAAGGAGAGGTGGGATATTGCATGGAAAGTCTCAGGTAACCAGGGCAACATTCGACACCAGAGCCTTAACCTGTTAGGGAATAGTAAGAGCTTGGACAGGCTTTGGGGCCTGTATAATTCAGGTAAAGGTATTGGGGGAACTAGCTAGGACCCTTGCCTCTTGGTCAGGTTTCACTGTGTGGAACAAAATAAATAATAAGGTGATAGGGGCCTGCAAGTGGGGGAAGGACATCTGCACCTAGCAGATTAATTGGACAGGTGAAGGTAACCACAAAGCAAGGCTTAGTTAACAGGCTACTCCAAGGAGAGCCATCTACACTTATGCAGGAGACAACAATGTTAGACAGGAATGAGGAGTCAGGCAGGCCTTGCTTGGTACAAATAGATGTCATGTGGCCTGCTATACAAGGCTGCATATAGTTATTGGGCATGGGCCTTACTATGTACTAAAACTTAAGTTAAAAGAAAATTTGGGACAACCTGAAGTGATGCTTCTCCACAGATGCTAACTCATCGTTGATGACATTGTTAATACAGGTAGCCTGATCAGCCAATTTATCTTAGGCTTAAACAAGTCACACCATGTAGTGGAATGGGTCATTAGGATTCGGGAAATTCTACAGTAAAAGGGCATAGTAAGGATGTACGCGATGTTACTTTAGGAGTAGGCGTGGCTGTGGATAGGGGGAAATCAGCCTTATCCATTCCCATATATTATTCCTTTTGTCTTCAGTATATCCAAACCATGTGTATGTCCAGGCGTTGCAATATACATTAATCCATTATCAGTCATGATATTAAAATCTCATTCTCATGAATTAAATCAAAGATTTTAAATCAACCTCAGAAGCAACAAAGAATAAATCTATTGTTTTTTCTTCTGTAAAATGATTGGAGTTACTATATAATTGCATACACCCAATATAACATTGCATGTTCCTCACTGCTACATTAGTGTATTTCATTCTGCCATATGTGCAAACTTGATTTAAATTTTTATTTTAATTAACCTAATACTTTCTTATAACACATATAAAAACAATGAAAGACAGTACAGACTAACAATTCATTTAAAAACAATAAACTGACATAGATCTCTATTCTTGTGCTGTTCTTAATTCTGGAATCAGCCTGTGTACATCTGTTGGCAGACATATCCATGCTCATTCCCTAAACTGATCAAATCTCTTGAAGTTATCTGATTCTTATAACTTTCTGTGTTATGCTGCATTGCTTGTCTGTCCCCTAATTTCCATATATTATTTTATCATTGTCCTGAAATTTTACAAGCGTGGTCAGTCTACATGCCATTTGAGTCGGCAGCCATATTTTAAACAATCTATTCCTTTGTTCGTCATTTAGGCTGTATTTGTCCACATTTGACTCAAACATTCCAGCATTAGTAAATGCATCCACTGACGTGTCATAAACTGGAATACATTTCACAATTTTCATTAATTGTTCATGTATTTTCAAATTAAGTTTTGCAGCTCTGTCTTGAAATTTATATTTCTGCAAATCACTCTGTGAGGATACATTTTCAGTATCTATTGGTTCTGGGATTAGATTCTGTGTCTGTATTTTTCTTGTATTAACACACACTTGCTTAACTTCATTTCTAAGCTGGCAAATAAGATCACTTCTTAGTTCAACTCTATCCTGTAATTCACAGACTGTTTCTGACTGTTTACAGCATGTGCTCTCTGTTACATTGTTACACTGTTCATTTAAATCTGATTTGTCTTCTGTTAACCCATTCAAATCTATTTCTTTATCTGCTGATTCTAAATTGTCTTGACCTACATTTTGTTTACAAATCAATGCATTGTAAGTACAGACTAGTTTCATAACATTTCTGATCTTTTGTTTTTTCTTATTAACAAACAATTTCTTGTCAATTTCACCATTGGCAATTTCACATTGTGTGTATAAAGATTGCCACAATACAGCATCTGAATAGCTGCTATTATATGCAAACTGCAATTTACTTTTCTCTGCAATATCATTTATAAATTCCACAATTCATTTGTTCCAACAAAATCTAACTTTCCTTATTCCAACATGCCAATAACCTCTTACTTAACAACATATACAAGATTACACAAAGTTCCTAACTAGGTTATTCGTCCAGCAAATATACCTTGTTTCCCTCACATTCCTCACTGAGTTTACAAGCATTTCACCCATTCACCCCACCCCCCTGTAGCCAATACTCATAGCAGTCAGAGCAAGAGAAAGCAACAAAGAAGGAGGGGGAGGAGGGAGGAAGACTTGCAAGCACAAAGTTTTTTAACCATGTGATTGCCTAAGCACAGCTCTCCTTAGGACAAAAGATAGAATAGGAGAGTAACGATACAAATTGTATAGATTACAATTAACATATATGGTACCCAACAAGACATACACAGACAAAAGCACAAAATACAGATGTAATTAAATCACAAAGTTCTTAAAATAAATGCCGGCTTATAATAAATCAAATCACACACACAGAAACACTCGAGCACATAAACCGCTCCTTTACCGAAGCTTAGCTATTTAAACTCTTGACCGAGTCTTAATAAAACAAAGGAACCGCCAGGTTTTTTACCAAACGAGGCCAAAACATCACTCACTAGCTTCTTTACCAAAGCTTAGCTAAAATAATTTTTTTTTTTTTATTATTTATTTATTTTTAAACTCTTGACCGAGTCTCGCAATAACTTCTTTACCGAAGCTTAGCTAAAATAAATATAGAGCCAGGGGTTTTCCACCAAACCCGAACTTGGCTAAACCTGCAAGTGCTTAACCACACTTGGCAGCATTATATAACAGTATTAAGCAAGTAGTAAAACAGATTCTCAAATAGACACTTTCACACATAAAACTCTCACTCAGGACTCAGGCTGTAGATAGAAAAGTGACAGGTTCTATATAAAAGGGGACATTCGGGCATATATATATTACCTGTCTGAAGACGTTAAACACCGGAAGCCGAATGTGAAGGCACGGAGAACAAGAGAAATCCAAAGAAAGGAAAATATAGGTAAGTAACTCATTTACCATATGCAGAGGTGATCAGGCTCCGTTTCCAATCTCTGGGAATCCTTTGCTCTCCTGTCTTGGGATCTGACGGCTGCCTTAGTAACGTATCCCTTAAATGCCCGCATTCTCCACCAAATTGTTTTGGATCAAAGAAAACTTTGATTATTTGTCTATCTACACCTTCCAAATTGATTAATTAATGCGTGCACGCTTTCCCTAGAAGTAATTCACACCGGAGACAAAGTTTCTGATCAGTGAAAAACCCAGGAATGCTTTATTCCCCGGAGTGGGGGCTCCTTCTTAAAGCAAAAATACGTCACAGTTTAAACATACAGTATACATTCACCAATTGGTTAACAGAGAAAGGGGGCTCTTGTTTAAACCCCCCTACAGAATGTAGTGTCATCATTACACACTTTTGGATACACGATGGGAGGGGGAGTGAGTGGTATCTATCAGTTCTAAACCAATGATCCTCCATTTAGCTATATATGGCATATAGCTGTTAACTGGCACAAAGGTAGTGGGGGAGGGGAGGCTAGCAGGATGTGAGGAATTTACATAGTAAACAGCAGCTGACCACATTGTAGGGGGGGAAGGGAATATTTACTCTAGA